TCACAGGCTGTGAGGCTGTGAGGCTGTGAGGCTGTGAGGCTGTGAGGCTGTGAGGCTGTGAGGCTGTGAGGCTGTGAGGCTGTGAGGCTGTGAGGCTGTGAGGCTGTGCCTCTCTCTCGGTTATCACAACTGTGCTATATATGTTTGTTTAAAATAAAATAAAAACAATAATCAGTATATTTTTTTACAAAAAGAAAACAATGGAATAGAAATGTGCTCAGCTAAGCTCATTATAAATACGTAATGAGGGCCGATTAGAAGTTCAACATTACGACCTACCCATTTGTTTTTCTCTAAAAAGGTAGAGATACAGTACATACTGATAACATTTTATTAAAAAAAAACAATCAACGATAGGACAATTTATATCAACAAGAGCATAAGAAATGAATAAAAGTTGTACATAGCTTGTAAAAAAAAATTAAGAGTAGCCCTACAGTACTGAATGCGACTATGTATACGTTTTCCCCTTTTTGGATTTGTTTTAGAAAATAGTATTTATATATTTTTTTCTATTACAAAATATCTAAATATAGCCCATATCGGCTCCTCTTTCTCTGCTCGAGTCTGTGAGGCCTGTGATGGCCTGATGGCAGGGCCCGCAGGAGGGGCGGGCGGACAACTATCTAGAGTAGTATCGCCCTACTCCCTCTCTACTACTACTACTAGTTGTCGTAGAGTAGTCAGAGAATGGGGCGTAAGCCTTAAGGAGTTAAGGCCATAGCCCCGAGCCCGTAACTCCGTGAGTCTATGGCAATTAGGCACGTCCACTGCTGACAGTGCTGAGGCCTCAGTATCCAGTGCTCACAGCTCACAACTCACAGTAACACAAACCACTATTTTAGCAGCACTCTTGGGCTGGGCCCGCTGGGCAGAGAGAGTAAGGCACCCTCTCTCTCAGAAAGGAATGAGGAAATGATGATAAATATGCATGACCCTCTAGAGAAGAAATAAATTAGTATGCCTGATCGGACTATTGTCCGAAGGACTGGCCGTGAAATATGATGTGGTTTTTTATAGCTTTTGGTTGTTGTTGTTTTTTAACTAAAAAGTAAAATATCAAGGGTTTAAAAAAAAGTAATTATTAGAGTTAGGAGTGAAGTGGGAAGGGGGAATAAGGGGGAATAGGGGGAATAAGGGGGAATAAGGGGGAAGAGGGAAGGGCGGGAATGAGGAGGGAGGTGGTTGGCTGTGTGGACTCAAGTCACCAGTCCTCATTTCGTTAATCGTTAAATGGCTAATAAAATATTAAAGTATACGTTATACGTTCAACGTTCATACTATATACTTAGTCCCAAATCTAAATAGAGGTGTCATTTTCCAGATCAGACCCTAGATGACAATTTTACCTATATTGTATATATCATAGCCTTCTTGTCTATCATAGCCTTCTTGTCTATCATAGCCTTCTTGTCTAATTTAGAATTTATTGTATATATATACCGGCCGCCACTTTTACCCCTCGCAACGTTCGGTACTGCACACTGTGCACAGTTGTCCATTTATCTTTAAATAGCATATTTCCAATGATTATAGCTACTATTTATAGTCCGTTCAGCCATATTATCTTATTTCTTCTCTACTATTTAGTAGTCTACTCAGTAAGGCGGTTCGGATATGCTACCCTGGTTTAGAAGCCATGAGAGAGTCCAAAACCCAGGGGGGGGACACTTATGCCTTGCAATTTTGGCCTCGGCCTCATTTGTACCCGCTGGGTGCGGCCTATTATGGGCCTGAATATGTGCACAAATAAACGCAGTACGTTTTCCCAACATCCACCGTACAATAAACCTGTGCTTTTGAGCGCCAATACTGATACTGTGTAAGAAATCCAACGATTATAAAAACACCCTAAAAAGTAAGCTTCATAGCCCAATATTGGCCCATACGCAATATTTACGTAAACTTCATAGCCCAATATTGGCCCATACACAATAAATTTGGTCCCAGAATTGAAAGTCACAAATGCACCTAAAGTCCGAAAGGTCAGGGGGGGAGGAGGCCTAAACCAGGGTAGCATATCCGAACCGCCTAAATAGAGCGAGGGTCATGGTGTTTTGCGTTATTTTGATTTTGATTTGTAGTACAAAAATGTGTCAGTTATTATTACTACCCGACTGCTGACTTGAAGGCGAAGCCAATTTGACACAAAAAATATGTTTCATTGTTTCATTGTGTATGTATTTCGTTGCCAAAAAAAAACTATAGGTGTAATATAGCTAGCCTGCCAGGTCATATCTGCGAGGAAAAAAATCAGGTTAAATTTGATTTACAATACAAACGCATTTGAGTCATTGCTGAGCCAAAATATCTGGAGAATACACCCAAATGTTTATGTCACTAATTTAATAATTTGACACAAGTCCAATATCCAGGTGCTAAACAAAATAAACACATCCGAACCGCCTATTTTTTTTTTAAATAACAAATATATATATATGTACATATATAATTTTAAAATACGCATTAGAAAAACATCTTATTTTTATCTATTTATTTTAAAACAACAATATGTATATTGTAAATAGTAACACAAGCCCCTGTGGCCTGTGGCCTGTGTCGTGCGCCCGTGCCCACACTCTTTTATTCCTGGCTCTCTGGATTTATAGGGTCTGCGAGACTGCGACTCTGCGGCTCTGCGCTAAATTTAGTGCCTGTTCTAGAGTAGTGAGAGAGAGAGTAGTAGATACCCACTCCCTCACTCTCAGTCCCTATATTTAAATACTTTACCTTTTCTATTTTAAACACTTATCAATATTCGTCTCATTCTGACAATCTCTCTTCTCTTGGTTGGTCTGTGTTCTGCAAGAGAGAGGTCTCGGGAGTCGGGACTCGGGAGTCGGGACTCAGGACTCAAGAGTGTATTTAGCCACCTAAATGGGCCCGAAAAGTACTAATTTACTTTTTATTTATATATATATATATATATATATTTATATAACAAACAAATATAAAAAAGGTAAGGAATATCTCTTGACTCATGAGTCTTGAGTCTTGAGTCATATTTTAGTTGTTTTTTTTATAACTAATTTGGTTTACCTGCTTCTCTGTGGTGGAACCGTGGAAGTGTGTTTTTTTTATACTATACATATAGAAGAAACAAAAATTGAATATTCGTATTTATCTTCATATTTATCGCTGTTGTTTCTAAGTTTCAACGCGTTTTCCTATAGTTCTAAAAAATATCTACTGTTCTAAATGGGGGGGGGGGCGGGGGGTTTGAATAATCAAAAACGGTAGCGTTTGGAAAACAATAACGTTTTGGTTACTTCTCCTGGTAGACGAAAATTAGCCTGCTTCTAAATATTTTTTAGGTTCTTTCACAATCGTATAGAAAAGATTTTGTTGGCGTTTATTTTTATAAACGTAATGAGGCCATTCAGAGATGATTTACAAAGCCTGCTCTCTTTCTTTTGAGTCTTCCAAATGTATATTTATTAGAAGGCTATATGATCTGTAGTATTTGTTTTTTGTGTGTTTTTTGTTGCAAAAACAACAAATATATTCACAACAAAAACAAAACACTGTACGAGTGTTCGGGTGTACGACAAAATGTAAATGTCTGATTTCTGAGGGCTTTGTTTCTGGGGGCTTTGAAGATATTTAAGATAAATATAATAAATTGTTTGTTTTCTTTTGTTTTTTTTGGATTGTTTAAACCAATCATAGCATAGCGTTCTAAAAGTTGAAACACAAAAGAAATTCAAATACAAACTGTACATCTACATATATTTTTATTTTTATTTTTATTTTTATTGTAAAATAAGCACACTGCAACAGTGAAAAGTGACAACGCAGAAGTTGTAGTGAAGTCTGAACTCTGAAGTCTGAACAAATATTTTAGCCTTCTCTCTCTCTCTTGTGTGTATTTACACAACTGACAATTAATTCACACACACAAAAGAGCAAGGAAGAGAGAAGAGAGTGACTGAGAACTTGAGAAGTCAGTCACACTCACACACTGTCGCCCAGAGAGAGGAGAGAATGTACAATAAAAATATATATAAAATGGATTAAAAAAAAGGAAAACGTTATTGTTGGTTTTTTGTTTATTTTAAATGTTTTTTTTAAAACAACAAAACAATTAAATACACACATGTTTTTGGTTGACGACTTGACGAAGTTGACGGCTAACCTTTTTTTGTTTTTTGTTTTTTAAAAAACACAAAAAGATGTATAATTTCTGTGTATATATGGTGTACTACATATCAGTGAGGATATCAAATACAAACTAATTAGCAAAAGATAACCACCGATTCGGTTCAAATGAAACAAGTTCTGTTATCCTAAATTAAGCATCGCAATTGTGTTGAATTCTGTATCATATCCGGTATTCGATAATGTCTGGGCAATACAGGTACGATGGTCAGTCAGGAGGAAACCGAAAAGCTAACGTCTCGTACTCATCCAGTCCCAACACTCGCGCCACAGTATTCCCGTATCCGTCACCGGATAGAGTCCACAAAGTCGAAGGGGACACAAACTGTAGCATGATGCAAGCGATGACTGATTTTCAAACCATTATGGTTGACGGTAGATGTATCGGGCTGGAACCAAGTACTCCTCAGAGCCCGGCAATGGATGACTCGTTTAGAAAAGATACTCAGCAGCTACAAGTACTACAGCAACCGTCCCAAGCGTCAGGAGTTGGTGGGTACGTGGCAAGGTCGCGTTCGGGGGTATTATTGAATACTGCCAGTTATCAAGGACAACAATTAGGAACACAAGTACCAAGCACGTTAAACTCTGATCCGCAATTTAGCCGGGAAAGTAGAATCAAAGCGCCAACCAGTGTACGATTGGAGAGGTGTCTCTCGGATTCGAGTGAGATTTTGAGTTCGAGCATACAAAGCGATTTTGCTTCATCTAACGCCGCACATCCGCGATTATTGCACTACGCAGCTACTTCGGGGGAATACGGTAGTCGTGAAGCTGGCTGTAATATACAAAATAGAACACATGACAGTAATTTATATAATTTCAAAATGGATTACAACGGGTTTGTAGTTCCAAGCCCATCTGAGGCGCAATTTTCCGAGCAAACGAGTTTACCTCGGCAGCAGGCAGTGCATCAGCAACCAAGAAGACAGTCTCCGACTGACGATCGTATGGCCATGTTAGACCGCATCTTGTCTATGGATCACATGGATGCCCATAAGCAACTTGGCCGGGAAGCTGTTGGTGATAATAAGCGTATGCAACAGTCGCTAAAGTCGACACTGTCGGGTCCTATGTCATATTTCAACTTGAACACTTCGCAACATGACAACAATGGCTCTGATCTACAAGCACCACTGTCACGAAGACAAACATCTGTTCCTGTTTCGAATTTCGGTAACCACAAAATTGATGGTACTTTTGCCCAAAGGCAAATACCGGCGCCAATACCTCATCTCCCTTTCGAATTTTCTGCCAGTCCATCAATGCCTGTGATCACTGATGTATCAGTCTCTCCATGCTCACCAATGGCATCAGTGCTTTCTGAACCGAATGGATTCCCGCCAATGATGCGCAGCATGACAGATATGCTACGGTCTACCAACAGTGCACCAGTCTTAAAGGTGACGGATGGATACAGCACGAATATCTGGTATAATCAAAAAGACGGTGGTTCTTTAAAAACAACCTACGCTACAAAATCTTTGCCAGGCTATGCAAGGGTGGGTACAATCATATTGACATTTGATATGGAATGCGGTGTTATAAAAAAAGCATATCTGCCCGATAATGAAAAAGGAAAAGCGGTACGTGTGATGATGGGTAGGGCGTTCGGATCCGGTATTCTTCTAGAAACACGGGCACCGGGTACCCCTGCACATATAGACTTGAGGTTTAGAGTAGAACTGAAAACTAGGAGAACTGGTGGAAAGACAATCTGTGCGTATCCCGACCCCAAATATCTGGACAAAGTATTCACGCAGCTGATGAAGCTACTAGATGAATAGTTCATTGTCCATTTTGTTATAAATACATAATGTATTCCACATCTGAAATGGGTTGTACTCGCAATTGTGGACTTGGTTGTTAGCTGTCTGGATCAACAAAGCAAGACGTAACTCAGAATGACTAAATGAGCGAGTATTTAATTACTACACTATCATTACCCTGAAAATGTATTTTACGAACATACATTTGCGCGTTCTGTACACATCTACACATATATATTCGAACTTGTGAAATGAAACGTCGTTCGTATGGGATACATATGGTGCACAACTGCACACTTTCAAGAACCGGGTCCTTCCGGTACATCTTTTAACACGAATAACTTTTGAACTGCGTCTGCAGGTGAAAATTTTGAAGAAGAAAAATCGTCATGACGAGAGCTACTTATAGAGGCATAACAAACGTCTGGGAGTAAATTTTATTTTGAGATGTATTTAAATTGTAAAATTGTAAAATACACTTGATGGCGGGACGCCTGACTCTGAAATTCAACCTATTTATAGATCGCAAATTTTTGCTCGTGATTTTATTGGACAAGATATTTACAGTAAATTTAGTACTGACACTCTAAAATGCACACAGACGTGTGTAGACACCTATCTGCTTTCACCCTGCTGGCGCTGCAGGATCCGGTAGTTGCGTCGGTGGATTAAGATATCCAACAATATCTGCCGGCGACGCTTCACGTCACATTTCTTCTTGTAGGTGAGATCTCTCCTATCTAGTTCAGCGTTAATCAAGTCGGACCTTCCGTCCATAATCCATGCATTGCTACCTAATTTTCTAGCTAATGTAAACTTCGATGGAAATTACTAGGTTTCAAACTATATTAAACTAAAATACAATTTAGTCAGTTAGGATTTAGCAGTGGTAGCTTGTGTAAGAATGATCGGGACTGCCTCTTGTTAAGAGCCTAAATATCCTCGATCACACAGGGCGTACCTCTAGCTGTTCTTTATTGAATAATTTTCACTAGAAGTACTAAGTGTTCATGACCACATGCCTAATTTGTAGATAGACATAATAACGTAAGTCACGTTAATACATTAGCTGATATAAATAAA